TGGTCAAAGAGGGTGAGCAGGCTGGGCTAGATTTTACATTTGATACTCTCATTTCTAGAAAAATTTGTATAAGCAGAGGTATCATTTGACATTTTCTTTCTTCTGTATATATATCCAGATTGGTCTAGTAACATTTGTTAAACATTATATTCCTGGGCCGGGGATTTAGCTCAGTGGTTCCTGTGCCTGCTGCGCAAGTACAAAGTCCTGAGTTCAATCCCCGGTACAAGAAAAAAATCAATTGACTAATTTTGACTAGGTGAATTCCTGGACTGTACATTCTATTCAGTTGACTCATGTGTCTATTTTTTGGCTCTGCCCAGCGAAAAAACATCTATACTTATACTTGGGATGTTAATGTCTCCTTTCTCACTCTAAACAGGATTTGAGATTCCTCCGAGCATCCTGATGGTGTTGGAGAGAGTAGGGAATGTGAGTCTGTGAGTCCCCAGGACTCTGCTACACCTTCCTGTGTGATTCTCATGGCACAAGCTGCCTGGTCCTGTTGCTGGCTGCCGTGGGGCCTCTTCCTCTCCTGAGCATGGAGGACATTCCCTCTGCTGGATAGTGTGGGGACAACAGTCTCTAAGGTGTATGGTCTTGTGTGTATGTGACTGTGTGTGTGTGTGTGTGTGTGTGCGTGTGTGTGTGTGTGAGTCTACATGTGACTGTGCCATTGTGCAACTCTGTGCATGGGTGTGGTGGTACACATATGTGTGTTTGTGGCAGTGTGTGTAATTGTTTGCATGTTTTGAGATATATGTATATATACTATATATAATACAATATATAATATCTACATGATATATAGTATATATAGGATATCTATTTGATATATAATGAATACATATTATATTTATATACTGTACATATTTACACACTGTGTATGTATTTGACTGTGTGTGCATGTGTTTTTGTTGGATTCACTGTGTGGTTGTAACTGTTCATATCAGGCTGTATTCACAGCTGGAGCTGCCGTCAGAGTCCTCGTCCCTGGCCCCAGGCCTGACCCTGGCAGAGCAGGCAGGACATTCAGGAGAAATACTGCCTTGGAAGCAGCCCCGACTACTGTTGAGGGGAATCAGTGGACACGCGGGCCAGCTCCCTCGCTCTGGGTGGGACAATGTGAGGTGCAGGTCCTGCCCTGTCCATGTCCCAGAGCTCCCCAGCAGGACTGAGCCTTGGTTGCCCAAGATGGAAACTCCCTTATCAATCCCCTTTTAATTTCTATCCTTTACTGCCGTCTCACTTCCCCACTGTCTTACTGGTGCTTCCTGGGACCTCCTCCTAAAAAAGTACTTGCTGTTGTTTTCTTCTCTTATCTCCTGAGATAATTAACTGTGATCCAACTTGAATAAGGAATGGCTAGCTGATTGGTTTAGCACAGTTGTGAGTGTCTGGATAATGGACTTCCTGAAGAGGGAAGACCCACCCTGGGTATGGGTGGCACCAACCAATAGGCTTGTAGCCTGGATGGAATAAGAAGGGAAAGAGAAAAAACAAGTCTCCTTCTGCTTCTTTAGAAGAGCTCCAGGGCTGGAGATTTAGCTCAGTGGTTTTGCCGCCTGCTGCACAAGCACAAGGACCCGAGTTTGATCCCTGGTCTAAAAAAAAAAAAAAATAGAAGAGCTCCAGTCTTCACCATTGCCTTTGTATATCTATTGCCAGGCTTCCAGCACTTGCTTTTCAGACTTCCATAGCAGACCCTTTGGCTCCCTGATATGGACTCACCCCAGACTCTGCAGTGAGCTCCAGGCCTTTGACTTTTGACTGGATCCTTTGGATCTCCAGTACACAGATAGCTCTTTTGTGTTCTTCCACACATGACTCTGCAAATGACCATTGTAACCTTACGTTGTAAATCCTACATATCCCTCATCCACAAAATGAGAATGGAAGCTTGATGTGATTAAAGAACACAAAGCAGATTTAGTGACTTAAGTAGGCAAACCATGGTGGTGGTCAACACACTTATTCTAGGGTGCTTCGCTGTCCCAGACACACAGTAGGTCTGCAGTGAGCTCAGCAATTTCAGCCACTGGGGTGGCTCTAGTACTGAACCTAGTTTATCAAACTCTGACCTTGCCTGTGACCTTGACATGGAAGGCCCTGCCAGCAGGTGACATCTATCCCAGTGATGAAGGAGGGGGACTCAGGGGAGGGTATACATCACCCTACTAGGCCTTTCTTTCTTTCTTTATTTTTTGGGTACTGGGGATCGAACTCAGGACCTCACACTTGCAAGGCAGGCGATGGAACCACTGAACTAAATCCCTGGCCCAAGGGGCTTTAGACCCTGAATCTTCTGGCTGGAGATAGTATTGAGGGAGATTTGGGAGCTTCCTAACATCCTACTAGTGTCAATGAGACTCTGACTCCTCAACTCTCCTTCTCTGTCAAGATCTGATCCATCAAGCTATTCCTTATGTGACACTACCTCAGAGGGCAATTCTGGGTAGGATATAGGAATGGACAGGAAGGTAGCCTTGGATCTGTTGGCTGGAGCATCCTCTATACTGACAGATGAGCCAGGTGACGATAAAATGGCTTCCACACTTTCTGAGATTCCACCACTATAAATATTCCTGGATTAATGGGGCCTTTTCCCAGTAAATCAGGAAGAAGCAGCATGGCAGAAGGCAAGTTTTAGTTGTGAAGGTCTATGGGGAGATGCCGGCCAAAGGAGTGATTGAACCTGAGTGTGAAAAAGAAGGGACCTTGGAACAACAGTTCCCATGTTCCTGAAATGCATGGTTAGAGTTTAGAGCAGAATCTGCAGGACAACAGTTAGCAGAATTAAGAGCAAGTTACTCTCAGAGATGATTGCTTTGGTGGTTGTGCTTCCTCTGCCCTGATAAGATCACCTAAACTGGGTCAACACATGTCACATAACAAACTATCCCATTCCAGCCCCACCCCCTGACAAAACTCCTATACGATATTTTGCAAAATGCTTTTCTTCTGCGTCTTTGTTCTCATGTCCTTGAGATACAGATAAATAATCACAGAGGTCTCAGCTGGTTGCTGTTTCCCTGAGGCTCTCTTATGTCCAAGAAGCAGCCCTTCTGAGTTCTGTGATTCAATTAAATCTCATCTCTGGGTAATCTTTCTCATCCTCTCATAGCCACGGTTCACACTGTGACAAAGGTCTGACAGACATGGGTTCCTTTAAGCTCTGAAACCTTTCTAGAAGTTTTCCCTCTCTGAGTCTATTTGCTCTTTTGTAAACTAGTCATTCTGGATGCCATCATGTGGACCTTTCCCTCCCCCAACTGTGATCTTCAGGGTTCTGACTCTGGGAGTTGAGGAGAGGAGAGTGGGAAGCTGTAGGCATTCTGATAAAGGGGAGAAAATGTCACAAAGTGGGCATACTTCATGGAGAGTGCTTGGGCCACAGTATACATGTTTGGTATAGAATAGGTGGCGGTCAGTAGGCACATTTTATGTGGAGCGTACAGTGTGTGGTAGAAGTACTTCATCTATAATCTTTGCACAGAGGAGAATGCTGGCTCATTAGTAGCTGCAGTAGGAACTTCCAACCCATTTTCTTCATTGCCTTTTTCAGGCCCTCTTCTTTATGGCACCCTCCTATAACTCTCTCTAAGGCCTGATCTGACATCTCACTTTCCAGGTGACAAAACTAAGCCCAAGAGGGCTGGTCTGAAGCAAATCAGAGCAAGGATGGGGCAGATCAAGGACTCCACCCAGGGCCCCCCAACTCTGTTCTCTCCTATGCAGACCCTGTGGTCAAGGGCTCTCTTGTCTTTTTCGTCCCATCTTTCCACCTCTCTTTCTCCCTCCTCCTACAGCCAACAGAGCACAGCCTCCAGATGTCCTCTTTCAGCTGGGCTCTTTATCTCCCAAGTCTGATTGCGGTAATCCCCTGCAGGAATGGATTCTTTCTTTTCTCTTGTTCCTAAACATCATGTCTCAACCTTAGGCTCTGTGTTTGTTGGAGGCAGGGCTTGAACTCTTGCCAGACTGTGGAGCTGGAGGGCCAGTGGCTTACATCCTTGAGCCTCTGAATTCTGCACTGAGAAACTGCATGCAGCCTTTCCAGCCCACATGTGGAGAGGGACCTGGTGAGATGTTCTGGGACAAACCTTAGGTTGGCCCTGGTCTCCTAGCAACTGAATTCTCCACTTCATGCTTTTTACCCCCTGCATTCTGGTCTTGAAAGAGCAGGGCTGGCTGTATAATTTGGGGCTCACTGCACCTTTGCCTCCACCAAACTTGCTCCCAGTCCATGTGGAAGGTGCCAAGTCCTGAGGACCCAATGTCCATGCTGTGTGAACGTGAGGCAGTTCCTCTCTTTATCTGCATAGCTCCACCCCCATGACTTGCCCACTTGTCCAGGCAGGAAGGAGGCAACTACTTGGGCCTGTGGGGATAGGCTGGCCATGTCCAGTCTGGCTTCCTGTAGTTTCCTTCAGGGCAGGAGACAGAGAAAAAGAAGTCCCAGAGAAGGAGAAAGTTGAGGGAAAAGCTGCTCCTGACAGAAGGTAACAGGCTGGGTGTGTTGGGACTGGAATGTTCTGTCTGGGGAAGGCGGGGGAGTCACTGCCAAGGCTGGGAAGCTCCAGGAAGTACGTGGTCCAGGAGATTGATACTTCTAGGTAACAGTTCCTGGCTACCTCTGTGATTCAAAGGCATCAGGAATCTGATCATTCTCTTCACTTTTTCCCCCTCTTCTTCAACATCTTTTTCTTCATGCTTCTCCTCCTCTTTCTTTTCCTTGCTTCTTCCCCTAGATTTCCCTCATTCTCCTTTCCCCTTATGCCCTTCTTACAGCTCTCACAGACTGCCCCTGTGCAGTGTGTCTGAAGGTCCCTGTCCTCTACCTGGGTCTCAGAAACTCCCACTTAATCTTCTCTGTCTTGCAGGATGACACAGATGAGCGTGTTCTGGCGGGAACTGAGTCTGGAGGAAGCCTACCCTTTGCTGCTCCTGCTGCTAGCTGGGGCCTTGATACAAATTCTGAAATGGATCTACTGCTTCTATGAATACTATAGTCACCTCTGCTGCTTCCCTCAGATCCCAAAACAGAACTGGCTCTTAGGCCACTTGGGCATGGTGAGTGTGGCAGTGGTGTGAGCCATCAGAGTGGATGGATTCCTGAGGGGTCAGGAATAGAATCAGGAAGCTGTGCATTGATCAGAGGGCTGAGCTCTAGGACAACAGAGAAGCAAAGGAGGTGGCCTGTTCAGTCCTATGTGGCACCCTCATTCCATGACTGTGCTATCCCGAGCCTGTTTCACATTCCTCTCCCCCTGAACCAGGGATCGAACTCAGGACCTTGGGCTTGTGAGGCAGGTGTGGTACCACTGAGCTAAATCCCCAGCCCACATTCCTGTCCTTCTGTTTCTTGAATTCATTTCAGGTCTGGCTTCCCTACTTTGGTGCACCTGTGAGTGGCTCCCATGTTGGGTTAAATAGAGTGAGAAGCCTTTGTTTTCCCACGTTCTCCACTGCTCGAATTGATGTCCAGGGTCTACTCCCTGGCTGGACCATGTCTTTGTGTCAACTCATCTCTAGTTTTCAGGCTGTTCACAGGAATGAAACTTGATCTTTCCACACATCACAAGGACACAGCTGGGCCCCCAGAAGATAGGTATAGACTGACTCCTCTGCTTCCACTCCTGGGATACCTTTCTCTTATCTTGCTCTTCTCGCCAAGATGCCTCAATGAGCCTTCTTGCCCAATCTGGATAAAAACTTAACTCCTCAAGTCTTTTATTAGTCTTCCTTAACCTCATCCTTAAGGGAACATTTTGACCTTTGACTTAGACCTGTTACCCTCTGGAGTGACAGGATTTCATTTTCTTCACTTATAAAGGGACAGTTGAGGAGCCTAGGTTCAGTGAGATCTTGAACCTCAGATGCTCTGTTTCAGAGTCTGATGGGCAGCAGGTGTTCATAGGTGGGAGCTGCCACCCTAATGGAGAGTTGGAGGTCACCTCTGTTCTCCTGGGGTCTGGAAGGTTCATGGTATGAGGAAGCTTCTCCCTGGGAAGAACTGGCTGTGGTGTGGACCAATCAGGACATGAAAGGATGTGGGCTAAACCTTAGAACAAGTCCCGAGGCCACACTGCTGCCCATAATCTCTCTCCTGATTTTGCCCTCCCCTGTGTCTGCACCTTGGGCTAGAACTCCTTGCGGCAGGAGAAAATTCTTCTCAATCCAAGATGGATATCATTGTGTGCAGACAGTTTTACTTCTCCATGTACCCTGGGATGTACCACTGGAAGTTGGAGATGGTCCTGAGAGCAAAAGAACAAAAGGAGGCAGAGGGTCTTTCCATCCTTAGAAAATCTGGACATATGTTTGCCATAGATGTTGCATCATCTTGACAAGGCGAAGGAGGGAATTGCTATGGCTCCTGGGATTGGTTATTAGTCAGGGTTCTACAGTGAAACAGAACCAAAGGGAATACACATTGTCATGCATCACTTAATGATGTTGACACCATCTGAGAAATCATTGTGGGGTGATTGTTCTCCTTGTGCTGACATAATAGAGTGTGTCTCACACACACCTAGATGGTATAGCCTATTACACATCCAGGCTAAGTGATACAACCTATTGCTCCTTGTATAAAGCTGTACAATATGCTACTGTTCTGAATATTATAGTCAATGTAACACAATATTTGTGTATCTAAAAGTATCTAAACTTATAAAATATACAACAAAAATCGCTTCTTGGCCTTTTGGCTAAGATCAAGTGTAATGTACACCAAAAATACTAGATAGTAAGGAATTTCTCAGCTCCATTGCAATCTTATGAGACCGCCTTCATATGGACAAAAACATCATTAAGTAGCATACGACTGCATATAGAGTCAAACACACACATGTACACACACATACATATAGACAGATACACACATATCTACAAACCTGAGAGAGACAGAGACAGAGAAAGAAAGGGGAAGAGAGAGAGAGAATTTATTATAGTTTTTAGCTCATGTAATTATGGAGACTGAGAAGCCCTGCAGTATGCTATCTGCAAGCTGGAAAACCAGGGAAGCTGATCATGTAATTCATTTAGTCTGAGTCCACAGGCCTGAGAAGCAGGAGTGTGTGGAGATGCTGTATGTCCCAGAGTCTGGAAGTTTGAGGGCCTGCAGTTCTGATGTCTGAGGATAGAGAAAATGGATATTCCAGCCCCAATGGAGGGAATGCATTTGCCTTTCTGCTGGATTTTTTTTTTATTGGGACCCTCAGTGTATTTGATGATGTCCTCCACACTGGAGGAGGCTGGATCCTTCCTCCGTCTCTGCGTACAAACTTTAATGCGTTCTGGAAACACCATCACGGGCAGCCCAGGAACCATGTCTCACCAGCTCTCCAGCTCTCCAGCTGCTCTCCATTCAAGTTGACACCAGAAATGAACCATCTCAGGTGCTGAATACCAGTGTCTTGCATGCAGGTGCCTCTCACGGAGCAGAATTTGAAGGATGTAGCTCGTTTGGTTGCCACTTACCCCCAGGGCTTTATGATGTGGATGGGCCCCATGCTGCCCATCATCACCTTGTGCCACCCTGACAACATCCAGTGTGTCCTCAGTGCCTCAGGTACCCATGTGGAGCTTGTGGTGGTGGGCACCATGGTTCACCCTAGCCCCTTCAGTTCTACACTCCATGCCTTTATGCAAGCCCTGAATTACCCTAACTCCACCTTCTCTTTTCTCTTGGCTTCTTCTCCTTTCTTTCATGTGTTCTCCAGCCCCCATTCTCTCTTTCCTTCATTGCTGTCACCTGTACTCATTGTGAACCTGGAGTTCTGGGCACCCCGAAGGCCTCAGAAGGCCTCACTCCAGGGCCATGTGCTAGAGGAACCCCCAGTGTTGAGGAAGTTGATCTGGACAGAGACCCATGTAGTCAGGAATGGGCCAGAGAGTCTCTCCTGTCGCAGGGTTCTGTGACAGGTCAGTGGATTGCACAAGCTTTGCTAGGGTTGGCTGGAGGCTGCCTGGTGGAGGACTTTCCCAAGGAGGTCTGAACAGTGAATAAGAAGGTATAAAGAGGAGCAGGGGATGCAGACACTAGAGCCTGAGGGCCCCTGTGGGGTCTGGTTTCGGCCTTGCTCGCCTCAAGACCCATGGTCATGTCTGGAACTCAGCTGAGGCTGAGGATATTTGGGGCAGGTCCAGTTTGTCTTGTTCTTATCTGACCTGCTCTTTGACATTGTCTTTGTCTCCTGCTGTTCATGTCTGGGCTGTTTGAGGCTAGTCTGAGGTTGGATCCCAGGGTCCCTCTTAGAAGTGACCAAGATCTTATTTTAGTCTTGCATAAGTCAGGTCTTAAGGTATATCAAGATCTTGTCTGAAGCCCACTTGTGTCATATCAGGGCCACATCTGGGATAATAATAGGACAATATCTAAATCCTGTATGTGGACCTCACTGAGGTCTTGTCAGACCATCTCTGATGCTTGTAAGAGCAAGTTGTACCATGTATGTAGGTGATGTATGCTACAGCTATATTAGGACATATGAACAGATGTATGTCCATGTCATATTTCCCATATTTCTCATAATTCAGAGAGTGCCATGGTGGGTAGCATGCCCTAGGTTTATATGAAGATCTCTGTAGAGTGTTTTGCTATGTGCAGGTGTGGCAGAACATGTTGGACCATGTAGGAGCCATGTTAAGATGTAGTGGGCATGCTATCCTATACTAGGCTGTGTCCTTGCTCTAAACTGCTGCATGATGTGGTTGGTCTTTTACCTCTTCCCCCACCCTCTGTCCCTGGATCCCATCCTGAAATGCTGAGCTTGGAGGGCAAACATGCAGATCCCTGGCTGTGACCCTCCACTTAACCCTAATCCCTAACTCTCCACCTAATCCCTAATCACCTAATTCCTACCCCTCTCCATTGCCCCAATATTCTCCTTATGTCAGCTGAAGTTGCGGTCAAGGACGTCTTTGCCTACAACTTCCTGAAACCCTGGCTGGGTGAGTACCTGCAGGTGAAGGGAACTGGGGACAACCTAGGGGTTCAGAGGAAGGTCCTGTCCCTTGCTCACTGTCCATGGATGCCTCACCAGGGGATGGACTCTTACTGATTTCTGGTCACAAGTGGAGCCACCGCCGTTGTGTGCTGACACCCTCCTTCCATTTCAACGTCCTGAAGCCCTATGTGAAGATTTTCTGTGCCTGCACAAATGTCATGCTTGTGAGTCCTTGAGCCCAGGGTCCCAAATGGAGCCTGAAGGGTGAAGGGGCCAAAAACAGATCAAGCCAACCATCCTGGCTCTGATGTGTTGCTTTGAGGACATTGCTCTATCTCAGCCTTGGTTTCCTTTTCTGTAAAATGGGGATAAAAATCTCTACTTAAATTGTGGTCTAGGAGATGTAATGGACCCATGTCCTTGGCACCTGGTACTGTTCAGAAAGCTTAGTGTCCATGTCTTTCTCAGAAGGCATGTGGGCTGAACACAGGATCATATGGAAGCTGTTGCTGGGTAACAAGCCACTTTCAAACTTATTGATTTAAATCAGTAAGGGTCTATAATTGCTAATAAATGTGTAGGTCAGTTGGCTGATTTTCCTCATTCAAGGAAGGCATCATTCATGATATATCTACTGTGGGTCAGGTAGGCAGCTCTGCTAATCTGGGCTCAGTTCTCTCCCATGTTTGGGATTTGGCAGACATCAGACTGATTTAGAATGATCCCAGCTGGGACAACTTCCAGAAGAAATGGAATGGGATATTGGGTAGCATGAAGTTGTCTACGTTCTTCTCTCCCTTTAGAAGACATCATATGATTGTTCACATGGCAACAACGTGGGGTGAAAGGAGGATTAAAGTTATCAGAGTTATGACCTCATCACATACAACACATGGTTGTGGCCAAAGTCAGGAGTCTAGCACAGGAAAATGGCGAGGAGGAGAGGCTCCAACTCTTAATGTGGTTGCTGAAAAATCACATTGCACAGAGCATAGATACAGGAAGAAGGAAAGAACGGGAAGTGAAGGTTTAGTGAAGTTCTTAGCACTTTTTCCTTATCTGCAAAGTGCTAAGTTAGCTTGTTACTGTTTCCTGGATTCTGCCAGAAGACACGATGTTACTAGGTTAGAGACAAAGTTGTTTATTCATGACACAGTAAGCAGCATGCATGTTGGCTTTCATCCTTTCTCCAAGCCACTCACATCATATGAAGACAACAAATCTAGGCATCATTTGATGCCTGCTCTTGTGCATATTGCATTACAGTGGATAAATCTTGTTTTAAGTAATCTGCTTTTATAGCAAGCAGAGCAAGCTTGCTGAGAAGTGTCCATGGGAAGTAATTCCCATCATCCTTCAAATGTTCTCTCTAAAGATAACCCTGAGGAATTACCCAGGTTGAGACCATCAAGGGAGTGCATTTCTGGCATAGCCAGACAGGATGACCAAGGCTCACAAGGAAGTATCTGTCCCAAAATAGGGATGTAGATGAATCAACTTACAACACTAATGCTGTGGGAACTTACCTGTCATTAAGCATGGACAATATTTTTTTTAATGAGGCCATGGAACAATTCCATAATCTATCCTGCTGAATGTATCTGTCATACCATGTAAGGTAGACGTTATTTTTTTTCCCATTAGAGATGGAGAACTAGAGGGTCAGACAGATTTGTGAAATTTGTCCAGGTAGTAAGTGAGCTAAGATTGGTGGGGCATATATTATATCTTGATTTACTGAACACCAAAGTAGGTCAACTTAACAGTAGCTGAAGATTTGACAGAGGGGATGAAGGGATGGCAAGGAGGTGACAAGGGCAGAGTGTGGGAGGCACAGCTGAGACTTAAACTCAGGGCTCCTGAATTTCAGCCTTGAGCCTTCATCTCCTAATAGTAAGTTTCTGTTTACACACAAGCCTGGTCCTCCCGGGGGCAGAGAACTGGGACAGAGGATAAGCAGTACGCTTTGAGTCCATCCTCACGGTGAGGGCTGGGCAGGGGCTCAAAGGAGCCAAGACTCGGAGAATTCCTGGTCTTTTTTCCTGGGCAGGCCAAGTGGCAGTGCCTGGCCTTGGAGGGCAGCGCCCGTCTGAACATGTTTGAGCACATCAGCCTGATGACCTTGGACAGTCTTCAGAAATCTATATTCTGCTTCATTGACAACGGTCAGAAGTGAGTTTTTCCCTGGGCTGGGAACCTATGCTCCGGATATGAGAGAGAAGGTCGGGAGGGAGGACTGTCTAGAGGGACCAGAAGAAGCTCCCTGGAGGAGGTGGGTCTGACCTGGGCATTGAATGATAAGGAAGTAGAGAGAGTGGGGCGTCCTTATTTGTCATTTGAGTAATGACAAAGGGGCTCAAATGAGCAAAGTATGTGCAAAGAGGTGCATGGTGCAGGCGGCACACTGGAGATGAGGTTGGAGAGGTAGGTGGTGGCTAGATCTTAGGACATCGAAAAGCCTATTTGATCCAAGGGGATGTGAATCTCTTAGAAACCACAGAAGTATTTAGAGGTTGTGTTAGTCGGGATTATGTTTCCATGAAGTGGAAGAGAGGCTTGTTTTGGCTTATAGTTTTAGTAGCTTCAGTCAATGGTCCATTCACTCTGTTGCTTTTGGACAGTTTTAAAGCAGTACTTCACAGGAGGATTGTGTGTTCCAGGAGGCTATTTACCTCTAGGGAGTAGGGAAGAGAGAAACATGAAGTGGTGGGTTCCTAATAGGCCCTGAGAGGCACACCCCCAAATGTTTAACTTTCCCCCATTTTGCACCATATCCTAGAGGCTCTACTGCATTCCAATAGCACCACAGGCTGGGAGCCAATCCTTGGACATGTGTTCCTCCTGGGGACACTTCCTAACAATAGCAGGGCTGATAATGGGCACGATCAGATCCGAGGACTGTGGAACACTGACTGACATGTAATCCTGGAGACACAGAATCCAAGGAGGCTATGGAGTTGTTGGCCCATGGATCAGTTAGAAGAGAATGCGATGTGAGATTTGTGGGGATTTTCAGGAAGGAGAAGGAACAGGAGTGGATACTGGGCAGGAACACAAGGAGAGGAAGAATGTGTACTCTTACGTTCTGAGTGCCTAGTGGGTAAAGGCAGCTCGAGGACATGGGGTGCCAGCAAGGAAGGAATTGTGGACAGTGACATCATGGCTCATCCCCACCATGGATCTGTGATGCCATCTGTTTCTGTATTCTCAGTTTCCTGACGTGACTTGGCCTCAAGCTAATGGCGAGGTTTTCCTCAGGTTTCAGGTATGTGAAGTTTTTGCTTTCCTTTATGTCTCTCTCTTACAGCAATTGGAAGCGATATATTCTCACCATCTCGGAGCTCAGCGCCCTTGTGACAGAAAGGATCAATCAGCCCCACCTGCACAGTGACTCCCTGTACAACCTCACTCATGATGGGAAGCGCTTCCAGGAGATCTGCCGCCTGTTACTGAGTTTCACAGATACTGTCATTTTAGAACGGTGTCTCACTTTACATAATCTCAAGATCAAAACTTTGAACTTCATTGACATGTTTCTGCTGTCTGAGGTGGGCTTCTTAAGAGGCAGAATGGGTCATGATGTTAAGTGTTAGATCAAATAACCTAGGCGTGATTCTTTGGCATTGGGGACTTATGGAAGTTATTTGAGGAAGGAAGGACAAGCTAGACATACAGAGATTTTAGAGATGACTCTGGAATGCAGGGACTGGGGGGGACTGTTACACCCAAAACTATGAAGGCCCTGGAGGTTTCCTCTGTTGACAAGTTAATAACTTAGCGTGGCACAGTTATAGGTCTAATACACACAGCATCTGCATTTCTCTCTATTTATATCTATGTTGACAGATGCACCAGACTCTTTGATCAGGCAGCTTATTCGTTACAGTGATAACAGCAGCCAGAGCAGGGCTCTCTCAGTGACTCCCTTTTTGACTCTCCCTTCCCTGGGTGATGCAATGCTTTTACCTGTATGTGCAGCAGGGTTTACAGCCCAGGAAAAAGGGCTGCACAGTATGAGTCTTGGAACTTACATAGGACTGCTGTCATAACTGCTTCTTCTCCTGGGGAGATGGAGAGAAAGAGGAAGAGGGAGAGGAAGAGGGAGGGGGGAGGGAGCTTTTTTTTCTTTTTTTCCGGTACCGGGGATCGAACTCAGGATCTTGTGCTTGCAAGACAGGCACAGTGCCACTGAGCTAAATCCCTGGCCTGGAAGGGAGCTTCTATGGAAACATGAAAAACATGTTAATAGATCCTTGATTTTCCAACCAAAGACCAAAGAGGAGACAAGGAAGCCAGGGAGGATGTTTGTGGGATGGGGACTCTGGCGGTGGAGACTCATAGCCAGCTTTTCATTGCTGAGAACGAACAGCTGAGGAAAACAACTTTTTGTGGTGTTGGAGATTGAAGCTGGGGCCTTCACACTGAGTTACATTTACAGTTTACTTTATATCTTTCATTTTAAAATAGAATCTCACGAAGTTGCTAAGTGTCCCAAGGTGAGCTGAAACTCAGTCCTGCTGCCTTATCCTTCCAGAGTGCTGGGACAGAAGGTAGCAAAACAGCTTATAGGAGGAATGATTTATTTTAGGTCAGTTTTTCTGCATGGTCAGCCTGCTCCATTGCTTGGCCTGCGATGAGACAGAAACATCGTGGCCCAAAGATATGGTGGAGAAAAACTGTTCAACTTTTGGTAGTCAGAGAGTAAAGAAAAAAGCTAGAGATGGAGGGGCTGGTGACCACATATAGTCCCCAAGTCCACACTCTCATTACTTACCCCCTTGAAGTAACTCTTACCTTCCATTTCCATAGCCACCCAGTAATACCATTAAATTACGAATGTAACAATGGATTAATCCACTGAGAAACTTTTCACCCCTCATGATCAAGCACCTTCCAAAAGCCCCACTCTAAACACACGAGAATTATCGGCGACTATTGTAGATTAAAGCACAATACTTACCAAAGGAAACCTAGTGATGCGAGAGGACTTGGATTTCTAGATAGGTTTCTCAGAAACTCTGAAAGCTGGTGTGATTCAGGGGTTCTTGTGTTCTCTCCAGGATGAAGATGGAAAGGAAATGTCACTTAAAGCCATAAGAGGAGAGATTGCCACTTTTATGTTTAAGGGTGAGGGTTCCAGTGTTGGTCTGTAGATTGCACATGGATCTCTCTCTGCCCCAGGGCATAATGGATCTCTCCATTCCGCCCACCTTCCTCATCCCTCCTTCCTCCCTGTGTGTGTGGGGGGTCTCAATGGATGGGTGCTTTCCACTCTGGTACTGAAGCTGTCCAGAGACCCAAAGCTGCCCTGCTGTTGCTCAGGCTATGAAACTACGGCCAGTGGTCTCTCCTGGGCCCTGTACAACCTGGCCCGGCACCCAGAATACCAGGAGCGCTGCCGGCAGGAGGTGCGAGAGCTCCTGAGAGGCCGTGAGCCTGAAGAGATCGAGTGGTGAGTCAGGTCCTCATGGCCTGTTCCTGAGCCTCCCATGGCTCTGCTCTCCTGCTGGGGCAGAGGGATTATGAATATAATTGCTTGGTGAGTGTAAAATCTGGGTCCAGAGGCAGGCCCTGGTACCAGTGATTTGTAACAGACCACTGTGCGTAACAGTCATCTACCTGTTGTCACAAACACCTGTATCGTTCATCTTTCCAGCCTCATTCTGCAAACACTCTCTGTCTGCCCATTGCTATTGTGTCCATCCCCCTTCTGTACTGTGCAGACTTGGAAAGGATCCAGTTCAGGGATCTGCCTTTCAAGAGTTCCTGGCTTGGAGGGCAGGGGAAGGGTCTTAGTTCAGGACAGTCTCAGGACAATTTTCTAACATCTTTGCTTCTCTCTCAACTATTTGATCCATTAAGGATTTTATTATTATAGGGAGAAAAGATTCACCAGGAGAACACAGGGCTGCTGACCTGTGATTTTCCCCTGGACAGCTTCGAGTCGTGGTTTCCTTAGGGAGGACCTGGCCCAGCTGCCCTTCCTGACCATGTGCATCAAGGAGAGTCTGCGCCTGCACCCCCCGGTCACTGGCATCTCCCGCTGCTGCACTCAGGACGTTGTGCTCCCGAATGGCTGGGTCATCCCCAAAGGTGCCCACAATGTCAGGGCTGGATCAGGGTCCCTCAGGCCAAGGGTCTCTGTCCTGACCGTCCCCTCCTCTCCGCAGGTGTTACCTGCCTCATCAGTATTTTCGGGCTGCATCACAACCCAGCTGTGTGGCCGGACCCTGAGGTGCTGCCTCCCCATCCTGGTCTGTTACAGGGGTCTCAGAGCAGGGGACTTGGTGTTGACCTGGGAAATCAGACCTCACCTGCCCCTGCCACAGGCACATGTGTCTCTCCCTGTGTGTGCTGGGCGACCCCACCCAGCAACCGTGGCTCCCTCTCTCCTCCAGGTCTATGACCCCTTCCGCTTTGACCCAGAGAACAGCAAGGACAGGTCACCTCTGGCTTTTATTCCCTTCTCTGCGGGGCCCAGGTGAGGGCAGCGGGTGTCTGAGCTGGGGAGGGGCTGACGGAGGCGGGGTCTGGGCGGGACAGCGGGGACATCCAGGTTGGCTTCTCGCTGCCGCTGCGCGGGTTATGCGCAAAGCTGTGAAGAATAGTGGTTGGGTAGGTGTAAGAGGGGTCCTCGGTGGGCTCAGAACCTGCTCCCTGCCTGATTCAGGCACTGGAGTCTCAGCCTGGTTCGGGGGACACACACGCCCAGTTGGGGCCGGGTGCACTTAGCGCCCCTCGCTGTCCCTGGAGCTGACCAGGGTGGGGTGGGGTCCCGGACAGGTTCGGGTAGGACGGGCCTGATGGTCCAGGCCGCAGTCACGGTCCCCTCCCCGCCCGCAGGAACTGCATCGGGCAGACCTTCGCCATGGCCGAGATGAAGGTGGCGCTCGCGCTGACTCTGCTGCGCTTCCGCGTCCTGCCCGACAACAAGGACACCGAGCCGCTCCGGAAGCCGGAGCTGATCCTGCGGGCAGAGGGCGGGCTCTGGTTGCGGGTGGAGCCGCTGAGCGCGAGCGAGCGGAAAGCCCAGTGGTCTGGGACCCCGCTAACCCCACTAACCTTTGGAGTCGCTCAGGAATAAACTGCTCTGTCACCTGTGTCTGAGTCTCAGCGAGCGCCAGCAGGGGGAGCTGGATTGGTGTGGGGTGGGGAGGGGAGGGCTGAGGTCTCTAAACCCAGGTGGGTGACCAGAGCAAATAGACCCATCCATTGCCCAAAATGCCTTTGTTCTTCCCATGTACCCTTGCTACATGACGCATTTACCTATTGGATCTATATTAGCTAAGTGGCTCTACTTATAGCCCTATAGGTTGATAGTAATTTGACTCACGTTGTACCCATGTTGTGACTTTGTTGTTTAAACTGCCCCTGACAAAAGACCTTGGTGGTCACCCCATTCGAGACCCCTCCTGGAAACCCAGGAGCTATTCTCTCCTTATTTCCAACAAAACTCTCCTAACTTCTTCCTTTGGTTCATGACATCATTCCTTGGTGTTGTAAGACCGAGAACTCAGCACATTTGACATCTAACAGGTTGGGAATTATATTTCTCCTGTAACGGTCGTACTCTATTTCCACCATGCTGACCTTCATTCTAATGTACGGATTCACCCTGTTTTTACTCATCTCAGGATTCCTTACTTGGGCCAGGGATTTAGCTCAGTGATTCTGCTGCCCGCCTCACAAGCACAAGGTTCCAAGTTCGATCCCTGGTACCAAAAAAATCGGAGGATTCTTTACTGTTTGTGTGGTTACTAAATTACTACTTATAAACATCATAAGCCTGGTACCTTATTCTTTTTAATTTTTTGTTTTCACTTACTTTCTCTTCTTTCTTTTTCTTTTTTTCTCTTTTCCCTTCCTTCCTTCTTTTTTCCTTTTCTCCCTCTTTCCCTTCCTCACTCCTTTCTTTCCTTCCTTCTCTCCCTTTGTCACTTTGTAATGCCAGACTGGGTCTAAGGAAGTTCCCAAAACTGAGATGATGAACTCAACCCACACTAAACATAGAATGTTTGGAGGTTTGCTGACTCTTATCCTGGAAAAAGAATTTTGAGGACATGTCAGTAAGAGTCACGGGAAGGATTTATTAGGCAGAATTTTAGTACACACGCAAGAGTGGAGTATGGACACTCAGAGCAATGAGATGCATTACAATTTGAAGCTGGGAATACTTATTATGTTTTTGGAGTGGAAATCTGTCAAATTTGGTAAGCTATATTCTTGATCTTGGTTTGGTGGGTAGGGGAGGATGGCTAACTCACAGGGAGATAATGGTCTATTTGTAGGGGGAAACCTAATTTACAGGTGAAAAGGTGACCTATTCACAAGTGAAAGAGGACCATTTGTAAGTAAAAAGTGAGTATCTGAACCCATGTGCAGGTGGAAGGGAATTGCCCAGGCTTATCCTGGTCAGGCTTGTGTCCTGAAACTGCAGTTTTTATTTTTAAGTTATGATTTTCATTGTTTCCTTTCTGCTTATTTTTAATTTCTTCTATCCTACCTCATTTGCTCCTCTGAGACTTTGATTCCTTAATCTTAAGGGGTGCAGAAGGCCCAACAGTCCAATATCTTGTGACTGTTTCAGGCTGTGGAGGGGCATTGATCCTGCATAGCCAGGGACTGAAAGTCTCACCCTGACTTATCTACAGGAAACATGGGAATCTTGGGTTCCAGTTTTTGCAGAATCATCATCTTTTGATAGTATGAAAAAGAGGGCAAGCTCACATTAGCCCACAACAGGAATGAATCAGGCAACATAAAAGAATTTTTATGCACAGTTTAAGGGCCAGAAAAGTTAGAGCTTTTCCCACGAGGTTGCTCCAGAAAACTGGGACATCAGCCAGGCATTGAAGCTTAAGGCAGAGTCCAAGATTGCACTAATTTGTGAACATAGACCTTGTTATGCAGAAGACACTTTGATGGAGTTGCCAGAAATGAACACACACAGTTCTGTTTTGATAGTGGCACAGGTTGCACCTTGCACTGCTGTTAGAATATCTAGGGTCATTCCATTTGTCGAATGGCTTTATCATTTTAACTTCTGAATTTAGTAATAAAGTACCCTCTTCAGTGTCATTTACAGCCTTTTATAAGTAGTAAGATTCAATGTGCCACATTACATCTTCAAGTCCTATTTGGGGAATAAGGATAGAGGCCAAATGCCCATACCAGTGAAAAACTGATCTGGTCCATTGATAATCCAAGCCTAGGAGGTTAGCTAGTTGATGTACAGTTTTAACCCAGCACCCTTATACCATTGGCTATCCTAATGATATTGGAGAAATAGAACTCCCAACATGCTAGATGTCTGATGTGCTGAGTTCATGTCCCCTAACATTGAAGAATGAATTCCAAAGGACAAAGGAGGTTAAGAGTAAAAAAGGTTTATTGGAGAATAGGAATAGCTCCTGAGAGACAGGAGAAGTCCTGGAAGTGGGTTGCCATCAAGGCCATTTCTCTGGGAAAGTTTTATAGGGCAAAATCATGAGTTGGGTATGATGTAGATCAAAATACAATCAGCCAATAAGATTACTGTTGGGCCTGGGCTAAACAAACAGGGCAAAGCAAACAGGCTGCTTTCAGCAAAAACAGTAGCTTCTCAGTAAATAGGGCAAAATGGACTCAACACAAAGTATACAACCCCCCTGGCATTGAGATGTCAAGTGATTGTCTGCGCACCTGAGCAGACCGTCCTTGGGCATCCAAGTCATAAACATTTCACCCCAGATTCCTTAGCCTTTTCAATACCTATATAAGGCTAATTCCTTTCCAGGTTAGCTGTTAATCTCTCTCTTGGTGTTATCTCAACCACTCAAGGATAAAATCTCTCCTAGCTAGCTGCTGCTATTTCTCTCCCCCAGTGTCAGCCCATCCACACATGGATGTGATAAATTCGACTTTTCTCAGCTAGCTGGTAGAATCTCCTAATTTTAGTCCCTGTTCATTGGAATAAACTTTTCTTTTTCTCACAACAAAAAGCCCACTTTTTTGGTAAGTGGATTCATGTGCACAGTCTATAACAAATTACAGTATAGCCAATTAGCTAATATTGATCCAATAGGGAAGTGGGGCACATAGCAAGGACATACGGATGACACTATTAACTTTGGTTTATCTATGACTTCTAGAACAGGAATGTTTTCTGTTCTAGATGGGCCCAGGTGCTCTGGCCATACACCCAGGTGTCTGATGTACATCTACTTAATGGTCTGGGTTGTACCAATTACAGTATAATATCAAATTTCCATTAATTCCTTAGGGAAGTATGTAAATCTGGCCATCGTGATTTTAATCTCAAGGCCTTGCTTTCTTCAGACATGCCTCCAGCCACAATTCTGATTTCTCTACCTCTCACTGTTTTCCTTGAGAGCCCAGTCCCTATCTAGCTGTATATTAATTTTATCCAACATAGCAATACAATGTATATCTTCCTATCCAACTTGGAGACAACCATGGCCATAGGTTTGTGCCACAGAGCCACTGGGTACCATTTAGGAGTGGCCATCCTATTCCAGCTCTTGCCTTTCAGTCAGTAGCAAACAAGTTAGAATCCATTAACACTACAGTATGATCACAGCTTTGTGTTGGAATCTAGTCCGTATTTTGCAGGGCATTGTTCCATTTATCACAAATATGATTTTTCTGCTTCTAACAAAGGGTAGCTAGTTGGCTGACTTGCCCCATAGTAGATGTCAGATATGTTCATTCTAAACTTAAAAATTGTATCTATGAATTGGTGGTTAGCTTTCATCATGGGAGTTTTAGGAGTCTGGGGTAGGTCAGAATCTCTATATTGTCATATCTGAGTATTAATTGTGACTAGAGAAAAATTCTTCCTGCAGCCCTTTAGGATCTCATTTATTGGCCACTGAAAGACATTAGGTCTGGTAACAAGCTTAAAATCATCATTGCACTTTATTATTATTCTATAAATTTTGGGGGGAGGTACCAGGGATCTAACTCAGGACCTTGCACTTGTGAGGCAGGCAGCGGAACCACTGAGCTAAATCCCTGGCCCTGTTCTATAAAATTTTGAAGTATTTTCCAGTCATCTCTCCATAGAGGAGATACCCACTATGGTAGCCCAGATGCACTAAAAGTAGGCAATTGTTCACAAACCCAGCATGTACCTTTTTAATGTTTTTGGTATATTGCTGGGCCCAGTCAAGGAAAACATAAATTCCTCCATTGGAGAATACTATAAGGGTTAAAAAACAAAAATAATTGTTTGACTTGGATCTTAGCAGACACAGTGGAGTCATGAGAGGAGATATATTTAAGCAAAATAAACTTATCTAATTTATCCTATATCAACTGTCTTATTCTTCTTGAATATGATCTGCAAGACCTCCAATGACTCAGGACAGTGTTGATTACAGGTCTCTGTTTCCTTGACTTCTCAATCCTGTAAAGTCTCAAAAGGAACAGGTTTAATTTTTGAAAAATGAATCCATAATGCATATCTTTTTTTGTTTTTGTTTTTTGGTACAAGGGATAGATCTTAGGACCTTGCACTTGCAAGGCAGGTGCAGCGCCACTGAGCTAAATCCCCAACCCACTACTGTATATCTTTACAGCTTGACAGCTGTGAGTGTGTTCAAAAGAACTAGGTAGGGTCCCTTTCATTTAGGGAGAAGCTGATCTAAAGGTGACCTCTCTTCCGAAGTTTAAGTAACACAAAATCACTGGGTTGAATTTTACAGAAGTGAGTTGTAGAGTCTGGTGCTGGAAGGACTTTATTATCATGTTTTAGTACCCGACCTAGATTAATTATGTAAATAATCATTTCCTGTGTTTTAGGATCAGTGACTAGATCTGAAGTCATATATGGCCTCCAATAAAGCATTTCATAAGGCTTAATTGAAAAGAAGCTTTGGGGGTTAATTCCAATCTTCAGTAAAGCAATAGGTAATAGTTTTAGTGAAGACTCTGAGGTTTCTTGGAACAATTTTGCAAAGGTGGTTTTAATATGTAAATTGGTCTTTTCAACTTCCTGATGCCTGAGGATGACAAATGGTGTGAAGATAATAAATGATTTCCAAGGCTCGTGAAAACTCCTGTGTCACTTTGGAGACAACAGAAGATCCGTTATCGCTCTGA